GACTTACCGAGCTGGTCAACTCAGCTGAAGCAAATAAGCAGAAGGCTTTGGCCGAACGGAAAGACAAATATCTGCGCGAGCTAGTCAAGCTCGAGAAAAAGAAAGACGCCAAAATAGCCGAGCTGAAGAAGAGCGCGGAAGATGCTGAGGACCGCGGCTACAAGGACAGGGAAGCCACCTACATCCTGTAGTGTGAAGCTACAAAGGACATATTTTTCAAATACGGATGGAAGACGGCTGTCTCAAAGCTCGGTTTTGGCCAGGAAACCGAGGTCTTCCAAAATCCTCCTCCCCACTTCATTCTGAGTTATATGGCAGACTATGCCAATGCTATTCAAGAAAAATTACGTCAAGTAGGGAAGGAAGATGAGGCATCCCCAAAACCAGAAGACGCCCAGCCACTACTACTGACCCCAGTCTCTAGACTGCTTAGTCAGCTCGGGTGGATCCATTGGTGCCCATTCTTGTTGAAGATGTGGTAGTGATCGATCTACCTACCAACACCGGGCTACCGAGTGGTGAAGCTCGGGTTGACTTGGATGCTGATTTGGATGATCATTTTGCCTGATCATTTATTTTCTTCTTTTGACACTAACTCTTTGAAAGAATTTGTAACCGGGTTGAAGCCCCACCTTTTGTAATGCACTTTTGATTTTGAATAAAATCTGCTATTTTCCTTTCTTTTTCTCCGATTTACATTCTGCTTGTGTTTGTCTTAACTTTTTGGCCGAGATAACTATCCCGGTTTATTTAGCTTTGTAATCTGTGTTTTCAACCTTTTTCAGCCTAAATCCTTATTTCGGCTGGAGAGACATAAATATTTGGCCACTCCTGCCAATCTCTTCAGCCTAGATTCTTATCTCGGCTAAAGAGAGATAAATGTTGGTTATTCCTGCCAACCTCTTCAGCCTAGATCCTTATCTCGACTAAAGAGAAATAAATGTTGGTTATTCTTGCCAACCTTTTCAGCCGAGATCCTTATCTCGGCTGAAGAGAAATAAATGTTGGTTATTCCTGCCAACCTCTTCAGCCGAGATCCTTATCTCGGCTGAAGAGAAATAAATGTTGGTTATTCTTGCCAACCTTTTCAGCCGAGATCCTTATCTCGGCTGAAGAGAAATAAATGTTGGTTATTCTTGCCAACCTTTTCAGCCGAGATCCTTATCTCGGCTGAAGAGAAATAAATGTTGGTTATTCTTGCCAACCTTTTCAGCCGAGATCCTTATCTCGGCTGAAGAGAAATAAATGTTGGTTATTCTTGCCAACCTTTTCAGCCGAGATCCTTATCTCGGCTGAAGAGAAATAAATGTTGGTTATTCTTGCCAACCTTTTCAGCCGAGATCCTTATCTCGGCTGAAGAGAAATAAATGTTGGTTATTCTTGCCAACCTTTTCAGCCGAGATCCTTATCTCGGCTGAAGAGAAATAAATGTTGGTTATTCTTGCCAACCTTTTCAGCCGAGATCCTTATCTCGGCTGAAGAGAAATAAATGTTGGTTATTCTTGCCAACCTTTTCAGCCGAGATCCTTATCTCGGCTGAAGAGAAATAAATGTTGGTTATTCTTGCCAACCTTTTCAGCCGAGATCCTTATCTCGGCTGAAGAGAAATAAATGTTGGTTATTCTTGCCAACCTTTTCAGCCGAGATCCTTATCTCGGCTGAAGAGAAATAAATGTTGGTTATTCTTGCCAACCTTTTCAGCCGAGATCCTTATCTCGGCTGAAGAGAAATAAATGTTGGTTATTCTTGCCAACCTTTTCAGCCGAGATCCTTATCTCGGCTGAAGAGAAATAAATGTTGGTTATTCTTGCCAACCTTTTCAGCCGAGATCCTTATCTCGGCTGAAGAGAAATAAATGTTGGTTATTCTTGCCAACCTTTTCAGCCGAGATCCTTATCTCGGCTGAAGAGAAATAAATGTTGGTTATTCCTGCCAACCTAGAGCCAAGTGTTTGGTTATTCCTGCCAAACTTCTTCAGCCTAAATCTTGATCTCAGCTGAAGAGAGCTCAATATTGGTTATTCCTGCCAACCTAGAGCCAAGTGTTTGGTTATTCCTGCCAAACTTCTTCAGCCTAAATCTTGATCTCAGCTGAAGAGAGCTCAATATTGGTTATTCCTGCCAACCTAGAGCCAAGTGTTTGGTTATTCCTGCCAAACTTCTTCAGCCTAAATCTTGATCTCAGCTGAAGAGAGCTCAATATTGGTTATTCCTGCCAACCTAGAGCCAAGTGTTTGGTTATTCCTGCCAAACTTCTTCAGCCTAAATCTTGATCTCGGCTGAAGAAAGCTCAATGTTGGTTATTACGGCCAACGTTCTTCAGCCTAAATCCCAATCTCGGTTGAAGAGAACTCAATGTTTGGTTATCCCTGCCAAACTTTCTGTTTGCCCTTTACTGGCAATGTCTGAGAACAACTATTACACTAGAAAGATTTATGCTAAAAAAGTAAACTACTTGTTTTATTTGAAAAATGGGAAAAAAATTACAAATATTCTAATGGAATGCTAAAAATAAAATAACTTGAGATTGACAGTGTTTCAAGGCCTGGGAATGGCCTTGCTGTCTCCATCCTCCAAGTGATATGCCCATTTTCCTGCCAACCAACCACTTTGTATGGTCCTTCCCAGTTAGGTCCTAGCTTGCCATCACCGGGTACCAAAATGTTGCCCATTACTTTGCGTAATACCCAATCCCCGATCTTGAATTGCCTCAGATGCACTGTTTTGTTATACTTTCTAGATAACTCCTACTGGTATGAGGCAATGTGAACTAGAGCTCTTTCCCTTCTTTCTTCTGTAAGGTCGAGTTCCAAGGCTATGGCTTCTTCGTTCAAGTCTGGGTCAAAATTTTCATTTCTAATTGTGGGAAGGCCGACTTGCAGTGGGATTACTGCCTCCATGCCATAGGCTAAGGAAAAAGGTGTTTCTCTAGTTGACCGACGAAGTGTGGTGCGGTAAGACCATAGAACATGAGGAAGCTCCTCAGCCCACTCGAGCTAGTCAAGCTCGAGA